AGTCGAAGGGAATGATTGAAACCCGTCTTTTGACGCATTCGATATTTATTGTTGTGGTCAAAACCTGCAGAGGAGAAGGCGTTCATAATATTACAAGGTGATCCATCTGATACATAATTAGTTAGTCTCACACAATTTTATCTTAATTACAATTTATTAAACACTGACATAACACAAAGTTCATAACTCTATTAATCTTAGCTTCGCTTCATTCTGCATTGTCTTATTACTCCAGGTTAGGCAGAAACGAGTAGGCGTAATTATTCAACAATATTTCAGTACCGAGGGGTATGTCATCACTTAGGCTGTACTTACAAGTGCGGGTCAATGCAGATCAGTATGGTGTTCCAAGAAAAAACAGTATTGCGTAAATCGTCCCAGCGCAAATTCTCGGACAGGAGAAGGCTGGTCTTCACAGCATCACTAGAGAGGACGATCTGTCTCATGGAGGGGCGGACAGCACCGCCACCAGTCTAAGACAGTCCACTCAGCAGAACCAGGACTTGTCTGTAAACACTTCTACATCTGGCGAGGTCACAGGTCGAAAGATTTAATGGCATCACACACCAGCACTATAGCTGAAGCTAGCGGCGATAACAGGATTCTGTGATATGATATATGATGTAACTTACAAAAATGAAGCCTTTGAAGAAACACAATGAAAGGAAAGGAGGGGGCGGTGGGGGTGGAAGAAGTAGGGGGAGAGGTTGTTTGACATTTCAAACAAGCTGACATAATCACATATCACAACCTTACTCGCATTCTCACACTACACTCGGTTCAGCAACTTTGAAGATGACTTTAGGGGTAAGGTGATCCTCTTCACTATTGGCGGCCCAACTACACGAGGTTATGAACGTCAGAACATCGAGGTGCCAAGAAGCGGACATGTGACAGTCAACGTTTGGGGATGGATAAACATACGGCATGGGTGAGCTAGCTGAGATTGAAGGGAGATTTCACTCTGAAAAATAGTTGGAGATTTTGGAAGTGATGATCCCTCCGTCCCAACCTACTCTCTCCCATATCCCGAGGGCGTAATATTCATTCAGGTGTGAATAACGATATCCTATTCCTCTGAATTAATGGTCTCTAGTGGAAATGATATTCATTTGTATTTATAAATTCCTGATTATGACTTTTATAATTATTATAACTAGCAAACAAAACAAAGTACAGTATACAGTAATTGATATATTAAATCAATGTCCAGGTTATTATTTTCCTTATTATATTTTACTTTAATATTGCAGGATAATTCTCCCATCCACACAACCGGAATCATCAGACGATGGTTCGACAAACAGCCAGACATACAACTTCTGGAGTGGCTGAGTAAAGGGTGTGATCTCAACCCCATCGGGAACGTATGGGGAGCCATCGTTAGGTCGTGGGAGACGGGAGGTGACCGAACACCACAGCAACTCCTCCAATACATGAAGGATGAGTGGCAGCCTTTTTCACAGATATCAGCAACAAATTCTGTATAATAAAATACTGTAGCCTCACTCCCAAGCAGACAGCAAGGGGTAATGCTAACAATGGTGGGTGGAGAAAGTACTAAAGTTGTAACTGGCTGTTCAACCACCCGCCCCAGATTCATGTATGACACTCCTTCCACTTATAACCTGATTAGTATTGTGACACTAAATAAAGCATAACAGAGTAAGTAATTTATGTCTTTTGTAATTACATTTATCAGTTTAAAACAAATTACTTTTGTTAGTGATATAATGGTTTGTTTTGAAATAAATATTGTATCCATCCATTATTTATTTTATCCTACTACATCTAAATAGTTAAATATATTCAAGTATTAACTATAAAATCTGAAATATATGAAATGGGTAAATTTAATAAAATCAACGAGATATTAGATAACAATATGAATTACAAGATTGATATCAAAGCAAATCATTGTAACACTTTTGCAACAAATAATAACCACAATCCCATGAAAATGCACATGTGGAAAACATAAATAGTTTGATATTTATGGAAATATCCTACAGCAAACCTTGTGCAATATTAGTTTTGATAAATTTAAAAAACTTTCATACAATAATATCTGTTATGTTGCTATACCATATGTTTGTCTTGCATACTCACAAACTGTAAAGAGGGATGAGTTTGTTACCATGCATGAACATAGCTAAGCAAATTATACTAATATATATATACTGTATATATATATATATATATATATATATATATATATATATATATATATATATATATATATATATATATATATATATATATATATATATATATATATATATATATATATACAGTTAACCCTCACTTTACGCGGTTAATGTAACCCGGAGGGTACCGCGGAAAGTGAGGAACGCGTAAAGTGAACAACATAACATATGGGATTAATTGAAATGGAGTCCAGGCCGATCCCCAAACTCCACTTTTTGACGACACACAACTATGTTGTAGTAAAAAATTATCTTAACTTTATGATGGCATGCACACACAATTAATAATTAAGAGAAATATCAATAATATTAGGTTTTTTAACACTTACATTAGTAGAAAAGATGGCTGGGCACACTGGGATGGGCGGTTGGTTCCGAGGCAGAGGGCAGATTATTGGCCCTCACCTGTATCAATTGTATCACTATCCACCACAGAGGCTTGCAGGGCCTCTTTGTCAAACCCCCCAAAGTTCATATAAGTCCATATCCTCACTATAATTATCACTATCACTGACTTGGGCCGGCTGTAGTGGGTGGCGGGTGAAGAACTGGTAATGTTTTGATAACTGGGCGACCTTGTGCGCACCATTTTCGCGCCTCTTACACAACATGGCGGATGGCGGGAGGTTTGGATCCAAAAATGGCGCGGCTTGACAGCCGCTTTCCGCGTAATGGGGTACACGCACCGCGGAATGTGGGCATGTTAGGTTCCGGCAGGGCACCGCGTTAACGGTGAACCGCGGAATGCGGGACCGCGTAATGTGAGGGTTGACTGTGTATATATATGTATATATATATATATATATATATATATATATATATATATATATATATATATATATATATATATATATATATATATATATATATATATATATATATATATATATATATATATATATATATATTGCTGTGTGGTGGGGAGCTTGTTGAGAGGCCTTGTTGGTTGAGGAGCTTGTTGAGAGGTCTTGTTGGCTCGGGACCGTGGAGTAGAGTGACCTTCACAGCTAGGCTGTGGAGTATTTATGTGATTCTGCAGAATCAGAGAAGAGAGGTGAGAAGTGAGCAGCAGTGCTGATTGGCTGAGGTGAAGACAGTAACGGGCCAATCACCGCGCAGTCTGTGAGTGAAGCCCGGCTCTGTGGAACTCCCTGCGGACGGCAAGTGATCAGTCAGCAGTTGTAGGGGAGAGTATCCACTACAATCCTATCCTCTCCCCACCGCCCCCTCCTTTCCTTTCATTGTATTTCTTCAAAGGCTTCGTTTTTGTAAGAAACATCATATATCACAGAACCCAAAATATATATTATTTGCATTGATGACTGTTCTTTCAATTATATTAATATACAAATACTGGCAAAGGCAAGTATTAACAGTAAACAACCCTATCACTCAGTTCCCTAGCCACACGAGAGTGTGACGTCACATGAGCAAGAAAGGCTTGGTGTGGGGTAACACTACACCTGAAGGCGACTGTACATATGAAAAAGATGTATTTTATTTAAAGTTGTGTTGGTTTGGTTAGGTAGTATAGTACGTGAGTTTGGTTCTTTTTATAAACCATAAATTATAGAATGTTGTCATATCTGCTACTTAGCATTCCCAAGAGGGATTGTTGATATTATTGATTGGTCATAAAATGAATTAAACTAAACCACCTTACCAAATTGAATGCCCCAAGTTTAATGTAACGTAAACTACTGCTTATATTATATTTTTATATTCTAAGAAAAATTTAAACAACCAAAGCTGAAAACTAAATTTTTCTTTTAGAAGAACCATACTACTGACCTTCCAAACCTTAGCTAACCTTATATATCCTAACACAAACTGTCCTATCCTAACTTAGAATATAGCTGATGTGATACAAACATGGCGGAAATGCGGAACTTGTGAGGTTGTCTTTCTGACGTAAATAATAATTTTTCTTTCCTACGTTATTAATAATCGTAAAAGTTTTATATGAACAAAGTCAAATGTTATATATATTATAATATTTATGGAAGACATGTTTTTCTCCAACAAATAATATTGTGTAGCTACATGTACAATACAGTACAGTGGTCCCTCGGTTAACGAACACAATTCGTTCCACAGAGTAGTTCGTTAACCGAATCCATTGTTTCAATGGGATATTGGGTAATTAGTTCCAGCTCACCGAAAAGTACATACAAAGTAAAAAAAATGCAGTTAAGTACATTTACTTTAAGGTGTGTATGTAGAAGGTTCCTCGTTGATGATGATGATGGGAATTAGAAGTGGGGGTGGAGGAGAAGGGAGAAGAGAAGGAAGTGGGGATGGAGGAGAAATCACTTTTCAGGAGACCCATGCTTGATGCAGTCATTTCACTAATAAAATTTTAAGTTCACTAGGTGTAATTCAAGATTATTATATTTAAATCAACACTGCACTGTGCTATATATGTTAACTAAATTTCAGAATGACCAATAATTTCAATGTAAAAATGCAAAAAATATTCAAGACACCATTAAAATAGATGTTCACTCCACTGTCAACAAAGCCAAACTGACGCCTGGTGTCTAAGTCAAGCGGCTGATGGGCGCACAAAAAACTAGCTCCCTGTACTGCATATTTTATCAATATGTTCACTAAATTTTAAAATGACTAATAATTTTAATATAAAAAAATGCAAAAATATTAAAGAGCACAACTTTCTTGATATTTACTCCACTGGAAACGAATGTAAACATAGAACAGATTACTGAATTTGCAGACTAGCCCATCAGCTGATGCTCACAACAAAACGTGTTGTTCGTAAGGATTTCGTTAATTGAAGTTTTCTTCATTAACCGAATTGAAGATCCCTATGGGAGGTAATTCGTTAACCGAAATTTCGTTAATCGAACCGTTTGTTAACCGAGGGACCACTGTATTAGTTTAACGATACCCACAGACCAACCCAGTTAACAGCCTAGGATTGAGTAATTATTATTTACATTACTATTAAGCTCATGTGTTTGTCATTTACCATGTGCAATATGACATCATCGAAACAGGCCATGTGACAGCAACATCCATCATTATTTACAGGAAAATTCGGACAAAATCCTGAATATGAAAAGTACTATTTCTCTCTCCCACTGATTTGCTTTGGTCTGAATTGAGAATAATTTTGTTCTATCCGGTATTTAGATTTTTCCTTAGGTAGCTAGATAACCTGGACAACTTTCCTTAAATATTACGAAATTTGATAAACAAATCATGATTGTGTGCAGTTTTGCCGATCAGTGTTGAAGAGGATAAAAAAAAAGTTGTCTTTTATGGTGAAATTTCCTTAGTTGGTGCTCAGGGCATGCCATGGCCATCAAGTATTACTCAAGAAAGCTTTCTTACCTTGTGGAACTGACAAGATATGCACAAGGGATACATTGTGTACATTTTTTGTCTGCAGAGGAACCAGGGGCAGACACAGATATTTTTCAGGGTGAGGAGGGGGGGTGTTTCTCTGCTACTCTAGTATTTATGATCGCAATATGCCATTGGTAATTGTTATTACATTATCCATGGGTTATCCATGACCAAAACTACAGTAATGATATATTTATTATTTACTAAATTTTGTAATAAATTGGTTATACTCCCAGTTGAGGGGCAGGGTCACCAGGAACGAACCCAGGACACTTTGTAACAAAAGCGGGTACACTATCATGACGCTATCTCTTCTTCCACTCTCATTACTATCGAGAAAAGTATTTAACTAAGGTATTATGTGATTAAAGTGAAATAATACACAAACAGATATCAGGAACAAATCTCTGATTCTTTATCATAAAGTAAGTTTATCACAACTTTATCAGTTCTTGCTGAATTGTCTTTGACCTGTATGTGCAGTTCTTGCCAGCCCTTCTAAAGTGGTTCCAACAATTTTTCGCCAGCATATACTCAAAACTGAAGTAAAGTTTGGAAGTTTGCTGGATTTCAACCTTGTTCACCATTAAAGAAATTTGCATTATCACGGTAACCACGGAGAGAAATTTGCTGGCGTGCACATAAGATTATCATCTTCACAATAGACTTGAGCTTGTCTCTGTTCCTGACACATAAACTGCTGCTGCCTTGTTTAAATGTTTACTGACACCCTGCATTTCTTTCTCCATCTCTACTTTGAACTGAAGTGTATCTGCTACTGCATCTTTGTGTGATTTTTTTTGAGTCTTGGCCATCATTTCTAAAATGTTGCCCCAGCTTTTCTGATGCTCTGTGATACTGTGTGAATGGAGTTTCAATGAATATGCCTAGCTTAACAGCTTATTATGATTCTTGGCAAAGTGGGTATAGTACTTGCACAGGCCACCTTGCAATGATGGTGAATAAACAAAATCATTATACCTGTGTAGCCAATTTATTTGAAGGGCCCAGGTCTTGCCATACAGTGTCATCTTCCGTAAGTTGTAATCACTATCGGGTGAATGACTGTTGTTAAGGTGTACTTTTGGTTATTTGTTGAAGTTATTCAGAATTTTTCTATGCTTTGTTGATGGAGAAGCCAGAAAATTTTGCTGTGTGGAAGTCATGAGTGACGTTTCCACTCCACCTAAAGCCCTTAGCCTCGAAGGGAACATGTAATGATGACCAGACTTATCCAATATGGTGTTGTTTACTTGTTTTGTATTGATAGTAATATTGTAGGAGATTTTTTGTCAGTGATACATGTGTGTTTAGGGACTGACTGGGAATGTATCCCATTGAACCCCATGTTATTATGCTCCCTATTTACGATGCTTCACCTTGCGATGGATTTTTTAGGAACGTAACCCCATCATATCTCTGGGGTTACCTGTATGTAACTAGTAGTGTCTGACCTTGTATCACTAATAAGGAAGGCATAAAAATATCAGTTCACTGTCAACTTATACTTAATCACAGGAGTGCATAGGTAATGCCTAAGCAGTACATTTCAAGATAACACAAGGCTGAACAGGTCACTTACAGTAGATGATAGGTAAGAGAGTTCATAAAAAATATCACTAAACCGATAAATAGCTGACAAAGCAGGCAAAGATTGGCAGAATGTGCAAAAAATAATAATAATTGTTATAAGGTTTAAAACATAAAGGGAATAAATATTTCTTTGCACACAAGAATTAGCATGCTGAGCTAAGTCAGTGTGGGATTTCAGCTACTCTTAGCTGTCTCCTTTGTGTGGTGAAACAAATGACAATTATTTCATCATCCAGCAGTCAAGGAAGCAGTTGCTCCGACTCAAGGATAGTTATAACTTGTTAAAAAAATTTTATTCTGGGATTAGTGTTGAAGTGAGAAAAGGTGGTATCTTAAGAATTGTTTAGTTCATTCTCCTGACGCTCTGTAGCGTATCCGTTACGCCTTTAGTTTAGTAACATTAGATGTGTCTTTAATCTATTGTATTTTAATACAGTAGATGATCATTTTACCACCGATTGGTTATCTAAGCCAGGGCTTTATCATGCTTTATTAATTGAAACCGATACTACTGTTTAACCACACTTGGCAGATAATTAATTTTTAAATTTTCCACTGCCATATGCACAGGAATTGGCGGGCAGGGGTGGAAGCGACGCTTTATATGCAAATCTAGGCTACCGGTACTCACTTTCATCTTGTAGTGTACTGTTGTGTATTGTATGATTTTATAGTTTGAGTTATGCAAGATTATTGCATATTGTATTATTTGACTCAATAAATCTCTGTCATGCTCTTTGATAATATTCCCTCTAGTACATTTAGTATTAAACATTTTGAACCAATGTGAAAAATGTATGATAATTTAACTCAATAAATCTGTCTATCCAAACTCAAAAAGCGGTGCATTTCAGAATTAATAATACTGTATGTACAGTAATTCCAAGATTTGACCTTACATTCTGTGCACTGATGTCACCTACATGGAGGGTGAGTCAGCTGTTTAGTTCACAACCACACACACTTTAATGTAATAGATCGCTTTATATAGGTTAGCTTGGTAAATTAACATTAGCCACACATGTATCATTTTTATCACCTATTAAGTTTTTAATTGCACTATTTTATTGGTTTATTTGGTTGATACAATTTAAGTAAAACAAAAAATGTGACAACTTTGCAGCGGGCTGTTGGCCGCACGGACTGTGAATGGAGGAAAAGGTGAATGATGGGTGAACAGAAAAGCACTGTGGGAGGTGTTACAAGTGTACGGGATGGGAGGAAGGCTATTTTAAATGCAGGAGAAGCATTCTATGAGAACAGCCGGGCAACGGTAAGAGTACAGTATACCTACAAATGGGAAAGAAAGTGAAACATTTGAAATGAATGTGGGTGTTAGACAGGGATGTGTTATGTCCCCATGGTTGTTCAATATATGCATGAATGTGAACTACTGTACTTATATAAATAATTTTCTATGTTGTATGACAAAATTGATTTAAGATGGGTAAATCAAACTTTATAAACTGTAATGTACAGGTATTGAAATAATACAAAACAAATTGATTATTGTATTTTAAGCAATGAAAATAATAAATTGCACTGGTACAGTACAGTACGTGCTACTTGGGATAATTCAATAAAATTGGAATTGAGCTTTACTCTAAAATATTAACCGTTAAAGGAAATATACATAAAAAATATTAAGCAGACTACAACTACTCCTCGACTTACGACCACACGACCGCTCCAGTCGGACCCAAATATTTTCAATTTACATATTTTCAAGTCCCGACGTTAGTGATTGCGCTGTGTACTGACAAAATTTTCATTTGTAATTCCCTTTAAAATGGCTGGCAAGCTTAAAAGTGTGTTTTGTGGTGCTGAGAAGAAAAAGAGACACACATTTTAGATTTTTTATGTACAGTACAGTATTATCTTCGCATTTTCAACTTACGACCAATTCGACTTACGACCTGGATTTGGGTCCCTAACCCCGTCATAAGTCGAGGAGTGGCTGTATACTGTTTTTAACAAATCATAATTCAAACTAACATCGCTCTTTACTGGAGGACAAAATTCTCTTGTCATCTGACTCTAAATTAGAATCATCTTTCAAAATTTTATGAAGAAATACCAATTTTCCAGGCTTTTCTATTCATAATCTATTTCTAAGTTTTGCATGGGGAAAATATTCATTGTACACTGGCACTTGAAGTGGCTGCAGTATGCAACCCACAAACATCCTCTGTAGCATTGTTATCAACCTTGCCTTTTAAGGTATGCCATCAGGAACAGGGAGTAAGATGAGAATGACTGATGAGTCAAATAAATAGTTACCGGTAGGTCTTATTAAAGGTATCTGCTATAGCTTTCATCTTAAGTATAATGGGCAGTAGAGCTGGATATTCCTCTTCTGCTAGGGACATGGCTTTACTCTCTTCCTTCCTCTTCTGTAAAGCTTTCCAAGTGATCTTGGTAACGGGGGTCCAATATACCGTACTGTATGATAATCAGTAATTCCTTGATGATTTCTTTTCTTTGATTTGAATAATTCCTTTTCTGGAATAGGTGCTGTATTTTATGGCATATAAGAAGCACCCCCCATTTTAGCAGGTAGTATTTAGGAAAACACTTTTGTGTGTATTTTCTTCCTGTAGCCATAGTTTTCTTAAAACAATATATACAGTACCAGTAAATGTGAGGAATAAATAGAATATTACCAATAAATAAGATACAAAAAAAATACTCTACAGTACCTGTATTGTCAAACCAGTAAATCAAAACCAAATGAAAGTTTAACATAGTCACCATTTGTATGTACAGTACGTCTGTACTCCCTGTTCACCATAGCAATGGAGGCATTACCTCTGCCGATTCTCTAGCAATGTCCCCCCACCACCAACCGCCAAGCCATCCCCCCACTAAGCCAGCTAACTTGTGTGCAAAGAAATGTATTCCTTTTATGTGTTTGGCCCTTAGGAGAATTATTTCTTACTTTTTTCACTAAGTATTTAGGATGGTGTGTGCATGTATATCAGTACAGTAAAAATAAATCTACCCAAAAATATTAGTTGAAAAACAATAGTTTGGCCTAGTAGCCTGGTGGATACAGAGAAACGAGTCTAATTTGGCTACAATGCCACCAGTGATGTTAACAGATGTTAATGTGAAAAGAAAGTTATCTGTAAATCTTCATTTGTATCATGTATTTGTAGATTGAAAAATAAATGTTGCAGGTATGGCATTAATAGATTGTAATGCTTGTCAGAGTTCAGAAAAGGTTATTGCTTAGCTACGTTTGAGGAGTTGGGTGTCTGCCGTGCAGACATTAATCGTCTCGGGTTATCACCGGTACAGTACAGAGTAGTTATAAATTGACCTTTCGTATTTACAATAATTGTTTTTTTTATTACAGGCCCTTGCCATTCGCGAGTGTGCAATTTGCGATTTCAACGATTCGCGGTAAGCAGATGGTGGGTAGCTTGCGAGCCTTTTCCTACAGCACAACGAGTCACCCCACGTAGCATATCATGTTGTACTCTCAAAACTTTAGTGTTTTGTGTAAAATGGTCCCTAAAAGATTGCCTAGTGTTAGTGCTGGTGATGCTAGTGGAGAGAAATGTAAAAGGCAAATATCAGTGATGACCCTGACAGTCTTATTATTAAATAAGTTAAAAGAGAGGATGAGTGCTGCCGCAGCTGGTCAATTGTTTGGTACAGTAAAGCCTCCGATAACGACGGTTCAACTAACGAAGACCCTGGTTAATTTAGGACCCAATTCAATTTACGCCATTATTTTCTTCGTATTTAAGATGAAATTAAAAAAAATTATATTACATTTTCATATAAATAATAACTAAATCTCAATATTATAAAAAATTAAAAAACACGCCTTGCGCACTGAGGCTGCTGGGCTTGTTAGTGGTGATGCCAGTATCACTAGTAAACAGTCGCAGCTGGCGGCCCCGGGCCCTTTGTTATCACGCATCTGAACAGGAAAAGGAGAAAAACTTTCTCAGGTTTCTTACAGCATTTTTGTATTCCCATTCAACATGAGCAAGTGATGGTAGTGTTGTTTCAAAAGCTAATAGAAAATTTATAAGCTTAGCCGAGAAACTAGATGTGTTAAAACGATATGAAAAAGGTGAAAGGTCTGTGGATATTATATGGAGCAAGTAATGAACATATTTTCTGAAGTGGATCCATTAACAGAACAAAGCATTAAAATTTAAATAAGCATAAATGACCTCTACATAAAGTTGTATAATGAGAAAAGAAAGTACACTAGCTGTGCAAGGTTCTTTCGACAGCTTTATTATTCAAAGGCCTAAACCATCAAATTCAGCATCATAAGCAGCTTCAACAACAAGTTCAGGTTCAGTAACAGTTTCAGCAACAGCTTTATGGAAAGCTACAGCTACAGCCAGAGTTGAACCTGATAACTTTGTCATCTAAGTAAAAACTCACACAATATTCATTGGCTGTCCTTATGAATTACACTTTACCGCCATTGGTGAGTAGAATTTTTGTTTTACATTGGTAAATATTATTTAAAACCTACATGAACGGTAAATAAGTGTTGCTTTCATATTCATATGGAGAGAAATGACGCGAGGTTTTAACATGTTCGCACTTACTGTACATACGTTGGCGTTCTCAATCGTCTTGCTTATTTCTTTACCATTAGTGGTTAGCTACTTCTAGTGTTCCATTTATTAACATTAAATAACATTACTTAAAACATATATACAGGTATTAAATTTGTTTGCATTAAGTTCACTACAGCTAAAACCAGGGTCTTATTTTCTTCAGTTTCTTATGTGGAACCATCGTCACTCACGAAAACAATGCCGTCTCGTCTCCTCATAATATTCTATGTATTATTAATGAATTGCATTGTTTATTTCACATATATAAACATTAATTCAATCAAATACATATTCAGTAATAAACAATAATGAATCTTTTGTACATATTCTTAAGATAAAATGACTATGTTTCCTTGAGTGCGCACGTATACATTGACGTTCCACTATCAGTCTCACTTTTTTCTTTAATATCAGTGGTTACTTCTGCTGTACATTAAATAACATTAATGAAAACATACATATTTTTTTACATTAATTTTACTACAACAACCAGGGTCTTATTTTCTTCAGTTTCAGATGGATAACATATTATGAGTGTAAACACTGACAACAATGCTGTCTCTTATCCTCTTGTGTGTTTTAATATTGTATGTATTATTAATGAATTGTATTGTTCATTTCGCATATATAAGATTAATTCAATCTAATACATATTAAGTCATAAACAAAAATGAATCTTTTGTACATATTGTTAAAAAGATAAATGACTCGGTATCCTTAAATTCGCACGTATATGTTGGCGTTCCCAATCTATCTCACTTTTCTTTTCTTTACCATTAGTGGTTAGCCACGTCTATTGTTCCACTTATTAACATTAAATAACATTACTTTAAACATATATATTAATTTTTTTTACATTAATTTTACTACAGCTACAACCAGGGTCTTATTTTCTCTTGTAGAACTATCGTCCTAGACTCCCGGCTGTAAACACAAACAAAAACAATGGCGTCCCATCTCCTCTTTTGTGACCATATTATTATTCATTTAAATTGTATAAGGTGCATTCAGAAACATTATTTAAAGAACATAGTTTGCAATTTTCATTAATTGTATTTTTAGGGGGGAAGAGGATAAAAAGTCACACAAAAGATATGAAAAGGTCACACTTGGGAACACATCTCATTATTATTGCTTTATTTTAATGGTAATTAATGATTCGCAATACGATGATTCACCTTACACTGCAATATTGGAGGACACATTACCATCGTTATTCGATGCTTTACTGTATAGGTATGCAGTAGTGCACTAAGGCAGAATAAGTTACTATTAGCGGTTTTGTCAATTCGCAGCATTTCTTGGATCCCATCCCTCGCGAATGGGAAGGGTCTACTGTAATTAAAAATAAATATAATGTTTAAGTAAGTAATAACGTATTTTTAATTCTGGAGTTGAGTTAGGTAGAATTTAGCCTACTGGAGACAGCAACAGGGAGATTCATTAGTGTGCAGGAGATCTCAACTTCACATAGGATGCAGGCTGATTTTTTTTAGCCATTTTTCAGACAAGAGAGTGCATCTTATATGCTGTAAAATACGATAGTTGTTTTAATTCGTGCATTATATCTTTCCAAATTTTCATCACTTCCTCTGTTTTACACTTAACACTTTATAATTTTGAAAGGGCAGTAGAGACAGGTTTCAGTCTGTTTGCAAAGTCTTGTGCATTGCTCTTGTTCATGTCCATAATCTTGGTTGAGAGAGTGACTCATCAAGAGGAAGAGAGGCTTATATTAAACAATTCTGAAGGTAGAGTTCCAATCAGTCAGACACAGAATCCCATCTTATCTTCACTGGCATTGTGAGCTTTTTGCCACTTGCTTCTTTGTATCTAGCTACTGGAAGATGAGTATACCTCATGTGCTTCACTATTTCAGACATAAAGGTGGGAGAGGGTGGATGTAACAAAGGGACATCAGAAGGCCGTCCCACACAGACATCTCTCACCACAATCTACAAAACAGGAGGCAGAACAGGTCAAGAACAGGAGAAGTTTGTAAGCATGGTTAATGTAAATTATCAACTGTGTAAATCATAAGTTACAAATATGAAAGTCAAGTTAGTGATCCTAGGAAACTGAGGATGAAAAGAAGGTTCACACAAGTGAATCTTTCTCCTGAAAATACTGGTGAAAATATTGCACTGTTAAATGTTGTTTAAATACAACATGATGATTAGTGTAATGTTTCTATCCAGATGATTACCTTGTGAGAGTGATGAAAGATCCAATACTGTACTGTACATGGCAAGTGATTGTTTGATCTGCCCATGTACTGTTAAGTCAAAGTTCACTTATGGAAAATATTTTTCAAACAAGAGTAACCTCAGAAACCACATACATGTGTAGAATTTTGAATGGGAGCTACCGATTTACTTGTGAAAAGTGGGATTTTTTTTACACAACGAATAGTTCATATGAATGCCCACTGATGGAAAAAATTAAATTATACAAAGTGTTCTAAAGTAATTTTTTTAAAATGGCTGATTTTGTGGACCAAATGGCCAAACGTGATGAGGAAATGTGCCTGTGTGAATATTGTGGACATTTTTTTCATCTTAATGATGCTTTACAAATGCATACCTGTAAGACTGAACACGCTGATGTGATAGATATTAAATATGAAGAAGTTGATGAAAGCTTTGACAGTAACTGTGAAACAACACAACATGTGGCTTTGCTTGCTGAGAAAGATATCAAGTGTGAAGCATTTGATGTAAGTTATAACAGTAACTTTGATGAGACACAACATGTGACTGTTGATGAGAAAGATAACAAGTGTGAAGCATTTGATGTAAGTTATAACAGTAACTCTGATGAGACACAACATGTGTCTGTTGATGAGAAAGATAACAAGTGTGAAGCATTTGATGTAAGTTATAACAGTAACTCTGATGAGACACAACATGTGTCTGTTGATGAGAAAGATAACAAGTGTGAAGCATTTGATGTAAGTTATAACAGTAACTCTGATGAGACACAACATGTGTCTGTTGATGAGAAAGATAACAAGTGTGAAGCATTTGATGTAAGTTATAACAGTAACTCTGATGAGACACAACATGTGTCTGTTGATGAGAAAGATAACAAGTGTGAAGCATTTGATGTAAGTTATAACAGTAACTCTGATGAGACACAACATGTGTCTGTTGATGAGAAAGATATCAAGTGTGAAGCATTTGATGTAAGTTATAACAGTAACTCTGATGAGAGACAACATGTGACTGTTGATGAGGAAAATGTTTATTGTGAAAACATTGATATAAGTTTAAACAGTAACTCTGATGAGACACATGTGACTGTTGGTGAGGAAAATGTTAATTGTGAAGACATTGATGTAAGTTTAAACAGTAACTCTGATGAGACACATGTGACTGTTGATGAGGAAAATGTTAATTGTGAAGAAAGTTTTAATGGAAAGAATCAATTGATGGATCATTTAGTCCATAGTGTGAAAATTATTAAGTGTTATAAGTGCGGAAAGATTTTTGATTCACAGACTAATCTGAAGCAGCATTTGCTTGTACACACTGGTGAGAAAAATTTTAAGTGTGAAGAGTGTAATAAAAGATTTTCCACGAAGAAATATCTGAAGGTACATATGGAAGTACACACTGGTGAAAAATATCAACTATCTATTAGAGCTCAGATCATTGGCCTTCGAGATGGTGGCCTTAGTATACGAGCCATCGCTCACCGTCTAGGCACCTCGACCACGACTGTGGCCAAATGGATTAAACGTTGGAAGAAAAGTGGAAATTTGAGCAACTTAGGTATGATATAAATAAATTTATTGTTGATGACATATATTTATATTGACATGAGAAATCTTGATATGTTTTATGTACTATATGCTCGTGCATTTTGTTTACAGTTTTATTTTATCACTTTAGAGGGGAGACATCGTCCCCGGTTGACAACTCCTCAGCAAGATGAGAGAATTCAACGAGAGGCAGAGGAAAACCCCTTTACGAATGCTGAAGCAATTAGGAAAGAATTGCAGTTAGAAGTATCCACGGCTACAGTCCGAAGACGTCTGTACGAAGCGGGAATCCAACATATGGTTCCTGTCAAGAAGGAGCGCCTCACAGACAAACAACGCTCTGCTAGGCTTGCCTTCGCTAGCCAGTATGTTACCAAAGATTTGGACTTCTGGTCCAGGGTGGTCTTCACAGATGAGAAGACCTTCAGGTTCACAAAACATGGCACACTGCAGATTTGGAGAAATAATAATACCAGGTAATATTACAATACAGTGGTCCCTCGGTTAACGAACGCCTCGGTTAACGAAATTTCGGTTAACGAATTACCTTCCATAAGAATATTCAATTCGGTTAACGAACAAAAATTCAGTTAACGAAATTCTTACAAAAATGTTTCGACATGCTTTGGCTTGCTCACCAGCTGGAAGATTAGTCCGCCAATACAGAAATCGGTTCTAGGGCTTACATTCGTTAAAATTGGAGTAAATATCAAGAAGGTTGGACTATTCAATAATTTTCCAAGTTTTATATTAAAATTTTTAGTCATTTTAACACTTATTTAACATAATTGCAGTACAGGGAACTAGTTTTTGGTGCGTCCATCAGCCACTTCACTCACCCACCAAGGCCTCAGTTTGTATCTGTTCAGTGGAGGAAACATCTTGCTTCTGGGTCTCTTGAACACAGAGTATTTTTACATTTTTACAGTACAATTATTGGTCATTCTGAAATTTATTTAACATATTGACAATATATAGTGCAGTGCAGTGTTGATTTAAAGAAAATAATCTTGAATTACACCTAGTGAACTTAAAATTTTATGGGTGAAATGACGGCATGAAGCATGGGGTGATTCCTCTTCCACCCCCACTTCCTTCTCTTCTCCCTTCTCCTCCAACCCCACTTCTAATTCCCATCATCATCATCAACCAGGACCCTTCTACATACACACCTCAAAGTAAGTGTACTTTACTGCATTTTTTTTTTTTTACTTTGTATGTAATTTTCGGTGAGCTGGAACCAATTACCCAAAATCCCATTGAAACAATGGTTTCGGTTAACGAAATTTTCGGTTAACAAACGACCTTCTGGAACGAATTGTGTTCGTTAACGAGGGACCACTGTATCATCATTTTCTCTCACAATACTATGCAAATTCATAGTTTCTTTACATCTCTCACTGTGGGTGAAAAATGTATGCTTGTATTTCCAACCAAATGGTGTCAACAACATTTTAGGAAATCAGTCTCGTGAAGCAACAAAATTACTTTTTTGGTGTTTTTTGTTTTTTGTTTTATTCATCTACAGGTATGAGCGCCGAAACATCAGTGAGGAGGCTCGGTCTGGTTATGTTACATGTAATGTGTGGGGCTGGATCTCCATCCATGGGATGGGTGATGTGACCAGACTTGAGGGGAGATTCACTGCAGCAAAATATATTGATATTCTGCAGGATTTTTTCCTTCCATCCCTTCAGGAAAGGAACTTCCCCTTCCCTCCTGGCCCCATCATATTTGTGCAAGATAGCTGCCCCATACATATGACCAGAGTAGTTCGACAGTGGTTCACAGGTCAGGAGAACTTGCAATTGCTGGATTGGCCTAGCAAGGGCACTGATTGCAACCCCACAGAGAACATATGGAGGAGTATGGTCAACACCTGGAAGCCAGAAAGGGAAAAAACCTCAGATCACTTATTGGCCCACATTAAGACTCGGTGGGAGCTGTGCCGGGCCAAGCCCCAGCTTTTAAGAAACCACATCTCATGTATGTCAGACAGGCTACAGGCAGTGATTGACAAGGAGGGTGGCTGGACACATTACTGACTTTTCAAATATTAAATAATTTATTGTCTTGGCTATATGATTATCCCCTAAATCTGAAGTAAAAATATACCTTTGAAAATACTGTGAGCTCAACATACTGTATTTAGTCATCTGATTCTTAAATAGAGCCAAATTGGAAATATCAGAATTCATAGATTGAAGAGGATTGCTTACTTAATACGATTGCAATATGATGGGGCAGACCTCGCAACATGGTGCACCTTCTCCTCTCTCCTACTTCCTGGGGAGGGTTCCCCCTCCCCCATTTTTCTTGATGCTACACCACCATTCAATATATAGGAGGCTATGACGTTCTATTCACCAATCTGACTGTAAACTATAACCAAACAGAAAATATTAACATTCATAAATAAGAGAACAGGTATTACATACTTGACACCTTAGTCTGACCACTTTTAAGAGGTTATTTCACACCACTCAGCTAGATATATCACAGTGTACACAAGCACAGTTGCCTCCACAAATTTTGAGACACATCATGTTGGCCCAAGGAGGCGTCTGGCCTCTAGTAGTACTGTATGTAGTGTAGTCTATTTTTTGTGAGTAAACAGCTGTGTGTAATGCAGGCTGTAATTGCATTGTAATAATTACATGAATTTTCATAAATATCAATTGCTTTGTAGTAATTTCATATACAGTACTGTACTGTACTCTATTGTACAGACCTGACAATCTGAATTGCTGTAAAATAAGAAACGCATCCAACAGTAAGGTAAAAAGATGATGATTTGCGTAAAGACATTGAGAACCATTAACATTGTGCACTAGGCACCAGTTATGTGGAGGTGAGAGGTGATATTGTAAATGTTTGGATTTAGCAGACCCTTAGACATCTGAGATCCTAGTTATGGATTATATATCACTGCACATGTTTTATTTTCTCTCTACCACGATGAACCATCTCTTTCATTCCCCCATCCATGCATCCTGGCACCATCCTTGGTGTTCTCTTTCCCACATAGCGTTATGTCACTCTGGTGATCCTCGCTTCCCACCACTCTCTGTGTTCTCCAGTTCTCTCTTCCCAACACATCAAGCCTTATCCTTCTCTTCCAATATCTTTACAGTACAGCAGGCATGGGCAACCTTTCCTAAGTCAGGGGCCACATTATGATTTAGGTATTTTTCTGTGGGTCAAACCACCAAAATTGATATCCTACCCAACCCAAAAGTAATGTCAATATTGTATTAGCACGGACAGTGAAGCAGTTTATCGTCATGTCCACCTTAACCCTTTAAAAGCGTAATTAATTTTCGCACTGGTTCCAGAAAAGTGTCAATTATCCAGCCAAAAACGAATTTCAAACAATCACATTTTATATAATTTTTGTTTAATCTGGAACCAAAAGTCACATATAAAAAAAATAAAAAAAATGAGTAAACACTGACGTTGATATACATGTTTCCACTTAATTGAACAATGACAAGGTTATATTGGTATAGTAGCTTATACAGGATGACATACTGATGATATACATGTATGGTATAACATGAAAAAAACATATATATTATCAACAAAATGACAATACAGTGAGTCCTCAACTTACAATGGGGTTAGGGACCAACGACCAGGTCGTAAGTCGAAAATTCAAAAATAATATGTACATAGAAAATCTAAAATGGGTGTGTCTCTTTCTTCTCAGCTCCACGAGAACTCTCATCTTTACGCTTGCCAGCCATTTTAAAGGGAACTACAAATGAAAATTTGTCAGTACACAGCGCGATCACTAACGTCGAGACTCGAAATACAGTGGTCCCTCGGTTACCGAGCACAATCCGTTCTAGAAGGTTGCTCGTTAACCGAAACCATTGTTTCAATGGGTTTTTGGGTAATTGGTTCCAGCTCACCGAAAATTGCCTAAATTCAACAAAAAAGGTAGAAAGGTACACTTACTTTGAGGTGTGTATGTAGAAGGCTCCTGGATGATGATGGGAATTAGAATGGGGGTGGAGGAGAAGGGAGAAGAGAAGGCATTGGGGTGGAAGAGAAGTCACCCCATGGCGCCATTTCACCCATAAAATTTAAGTTCTCTTGGTGTAATTCAAGATCATTTTCTTTAAATCAACACTGCACTGCATTATATATTGTCAATATGTAAAATAAACTTCAAAATGACCAATAATTTGCTTGTAAACACAAAAAAAGCATTTAGTTGAAGAGTCTCAAGCAAGATGTTACCTCCACTGAAAAGACAAAAAGACTGACACCTGTATGCTGTGTTGGCAGGCTGGATGGCGTGCCACAAACTAGTGACCCTACCTTCAATTATGTTCAATAATTGTTAAAATGACTAAAAAATTTAATATTAAACTTTTAAAATTATTGAATAGCATAAACTTCTTGATATTTACTAAAAGGGTAAGGAATTTAAGCCCTAGAACCGATTACTGTATTGGCGGACTAATACTACAGCTGGTGGACCGCCAAATGCAAGCTAAAACATGTGGAGGTTGGCTCGTAAGAAACTCGTTAATCAAGGGATTGCTCGTTAACCGAAGTTAAGAATCTTATGGAAGGTAACTCATTAATCGAAATCTCGTTAACCGAGGGACCACTGTACGTAATTTAAAAATATTTTATACGACTGGGCGGTCGTATGTCCGGGTGGTCGTAAGTCGAGGAGTAGCTGTAAATCACCTACCGCATGTGATCCAACGAGACGTCACAACAAACACATCAGTATGATTGTAGTTGCCTGGGAGTTCGTTAGATGGCAGCAGTCGGCGTTTGGCGGGGATTTGAGCGTCCTTCCAATATCCCCGCATGTCACCTCTATCAGTAAAGTTTTTCAAGGCCGTGGAATATACCCATATGTTGCGTTTAATTACTATAATCCTTAGCGCGGGTTACCCCGCATGTCGCGTGAAAAGGGTTAAGATATTTTTAGTTTACAATAACAATCTTTTTTCCCACTTATGAAACAAATAAATCATAATATTTTTTTATGTAAAATGTTAATGTTTCTTGGCATTTAGCAGAAAATGAGTGAAGTAATCTGTGAATTCGTTGATTTTTCCTACAGTATATGTGTAATAATAATAATAATAATTAACGGTTTATTGAAAGCTTGGCAGCCAGAAGGCTGAAAATATACAGTTACATATTTGGGGAATGGGTTTCGAATTACAAATACTGTAATATACAAGTAACATAAGTGACACAAATAAGATATATAATAACTAGATGGGGAAAAGCTCAAACTACAGTTCATTTCAACATAGTGACAGTGCAAGGAGTAGTGTTTACTGGGAGTGAATACACTGGTTTATTACAAGTTATTGATAATTTTTACAATGGTTGGGACTGGGCTGTTCTTATAGCGATCAGTTCGTGCACGTATGGGCTGGATGCGGTTGTGGTGTCGAACAGCAATTCTCGGACTAGGGATCTCAGGTGGTAGTAGGAGCCGGTTGTCGAGGATGGTGTAGAAGCTTCTTACCAAATTTGCAGATGAGGTCGTGGTGATGGTCAGTGAGAGTAAAGGGTCAGTGTGTTGAGCGCTTCTTGATATGTGGAGTAGGAAGGGGAGAGAATAATCTTGCATGCCCTCTTTTTGCACTTTTTCTAGGTGTTGCTGTGTGGCATTTGGGAGGAAGACCAGGTGGGGGAGGCATAGGTGAGCTTGGGAAGTATGAATGTTGTGTAAACACTGAGGAGCTCGTGTGCAGGAACTCCGAGGGACTTGAGTCGGCGGAGGAGGTGGAGACGGAAACTGGAGGATTTGACAACTTCACTGACGTGTGGTTTCCAATTTAGTTTGTTGTCTATGTGTGTGTGTGTGCGTGCGTGCACATGTACGCGTGTGTGTGTGTGTATGTGCTACCAACTGAGTGCTAGTAAAAGTGCCATGTTATTCGTTTCGACATAACATGATGTTATAAATAATGTGTTAATTTGGGATATTGTCAAGTGTATGAAATAACCATCTGTATGGCTAAGTTAATATCATAATCATTGTTGAATGTTGTAATAAATAATTGAAGATCTATTTTGTTAATTGTAAAGTAAGACCTAAGGGTCAAGTCCAATCTAAGAGTGTTAAATAACCATCTTATTTGTCAAAGAAATAATATAACAGTTGTTTGATATAACAAATGATTGAAGATCTATATTTTTTTTTAAAGGTAGGACATACAGGTTTAGTCTTATCTGAGTGTGTTAAATTGACGTCTTATTCACTCTTAATCTAATAAATATTGATTTAGTAAACTGAGAGTATCATCGCTCTATTCCTTCTAACAGTTGGTTCTCAGAAAATACTCATTAGAACTCACGTGCCTAAGGTCGCATTTGCGCTACCTAAAAGTTCAATGAGGTTTGGTATATTCTAGTAAAAGTCTGGGTGGTGGCAGGCTACCGTTGTAAGTACAATAAGAGTTGTGGAAGAATGACATGGTTTTCCCAGATTAATCCATGGTATAGAATATAACTAAGGCATGATAATAAATTGAGAGAAAGAAATAATCAGAAATGAAATAAATAAGCACACTGAAATAAAGAAGACAGAAAAACATAGAAAAGATATTAAAATAGAAAACATAAATATAGAAATAATAATAGAAAACATAAAATAGAAAATAATATTAACTTAGAAAATATAAGCAAAGAAATATACATTTAGAAAGAAGGACTTGGGAAAACAAATGGAAACAATATCACCCCCTAACACAGTCACCCCACCTGGTCCCCGAGATATGCTAGGGTGAGTACTCAGTTGATTGAAAATGTCCAAAGGAGGACCACCAGCTGGTACCTGCACTCAGCTATCCTGAGAGATTAGAGCGCCTGAAATTGCCTAGCTTATACTACAGACGGGCAACGGGAAGTCTAATTGAGGTGTAAAGTCATCTCAAAGGGCACTAGTCCGTCGTGTGTCCTTACCTGGAACTGGCAGACGCTCGCCCCACAAGGGGTCACAGCTCAAGGTTGAAGGTGCAAGCCCAGAAAACTGCAAGAGGTAACTTTTTCGGAGTGAGAGTTGTGAGTTTTTGGAACAATCTGCCAGA